AGGAGAGAGAGACAGAGAGAGAGAGAGAGAGAGAGGTGTACCAGCACACTGCGTGGCAGGAGAGAGAGAGAGAGAGAGAGAGAGAGAGAGGTGTACCAGCACACTGCGTGGCAGGAGAGAGAGAGAGACAGAGAGAGAGAGAGGTGTACCAGCACACTGCGTGGCAGGACAGAGAGAGAGACAGAGATAGGTGTACCAGCACACTGCGTGGCAGGAGAGAGAGAGAGAGAGAGAGAGAGAGAGAGAGAGAGAAAGAGAAATGTGTACCAGCACACTGCGTTGCAGGAAAGAGAGAGAGAGAAATAGAGACAGAGGGAGAGAGAGAGGTGTACCAGCACACTGCGTGGCAGGAGAGAGAGAGAGAGAGAAAGAGGTATAGAGAGAGAGAGCAAGAGAGATAGTTGTACCAGCACCCTGCATGACAGGAGAGAGAAAGGTTGTGATTTATACACGCAGACAATATAGCCAGCAAGCGAGAGAGAGAATCGTACAGGCACACACCTCATGTTCAGCAGAGAGCGAGCGAGAGACCTAGATAGAGAAAGATGAAGTGAAGTCTACAGGCACACAACTGGGCCAGAATCAGGGTGAACGATGAATAAAGGCCCACAGCATGAGCAGCACGTGACAGAGGTGGGACATAGCATAGAGTAAGAACGGTATAACACACAGCTTGACCACAGAGACAGATGTGTGCCAGTACACTACATAGCCAGTGAGAGAGTGTCAGAGACAGCGAGATGGGTACAGGCACCCAGCTTGGCCAGCACACCTTGGGTGCTGGTGTCAAGCATTTAAAGTAAATCATGAATGTGTATGATTCTAGAACATCTCAAAATATTTCAAGTAATCTGTCTTACTAACCCTGCAGTCTATGCATTCTATGATTAAGCTAAACACTCCTTTATTTGAATAAAATATAATCAGAATATATGGGGGACATGAAGACACTGCTCTGAATAACACAAATCAAGTTGTCTTTCAAAATTTTATAATACTATGGCAAGTGTTGGGTATGAGTGTGAAGCCAGTATTTGAAAAACCTACAGCAGAGTGGTTAGGGCAATGTACCATCTGTCCCTGTGCCTTTGCACTAATGCCCACCCTGGCAGGCAGCAGGTGAGAATGGCTCAAGTACTTCTGTTCCTGCCACCCACGTGGGAGACCCAGAATTAGCCTGCCCCACCAATGGCTGGCTGTTTTGGGCCTGCAAGGGGTTGGACCAGTGGTTTCGAGCTCTCTCCTTCCTTTAAATAAGATAGATAAAACATTGATAATGCTGTCACTTTACATATCTGATTCTCTTGTTGCACAAGTGTAAATGTTATGATCTGTTCTTTGTTCGTAGGATACACCCTGTTTGTATAAACTGCTTCACAAATGTAATACATAGGTTTTATCTGACAGTCCTAATTATCTGAAAGCAAAAAGTAAGTGTGTGAGTGTGTGTGTGTGTGTTTTCAAGGTAGCATTGTGAAAAGATGCAACGACTCCCTCTACTTCTTGGTAAAAACATGTTATGGTGCATGAAGATACCAATGGCCTTGACTGATTGCACTCGGACCCAGTGAGCTCAGGCGCACAGACTGGGAACATGTGACTCTGGCACTTCCCTCCTGGAGCAGACAGTGCCTAAGGCATCAGCTCCTGCCTCTCCCACTGAAGGAAGAGAGAGAGTTTTAATTTTTCATGCTGAAGACTTGAAATGATCACTGTGTGAAAACCATTCATTTGGAGAACTTTCACGTATTTCATAGTTTCTTATATGTTTGAGTGTAATCTTGTCTGAGCTTCTTGATCTACCAGAATCGCTCCCTGCAAAGATTAACTAAAATAACTCCTTAAAATGTACTTGAGAGGCAAAAAAAAAAAAAAAAAAGAGAGAGAGAGAGAGAAGGAATAACTGAGTTTCTACGCAGTGGTCACTCCCCCTATGTTCACATTAGCTAGGGCGAGGTGAGGCCAAAGCCAGGGTGTGTCAGTCCAGGTCCCCCGTTTGGGTGGCTGGGCCCCTGGTGCTTGAGCCATCCTCTGCTACCTGCCGGGGTGCACACCAGCAGGACGCGGGAGTTGGGAGCAGAGCTACAGTGTCCAGTCCAGAAAACAACTTTTGACATGATGTGGAACTTGCACTACACTGGGCCCACTGCTTCTCACTTAGAGCTTTGGCAGGACGACTTGGAGAGCAACACTGCCAGAAGAACATCTCTCATTCTGACCAGACGGTGCTCTGGTCTGTGGGCGAGTGCCCATGACCTGTACTGCAGTATGTCATGTGTTAGCTGAATGGCTGACACATTTGGAGATGCACTGGTTCTTAGGCAGTGTTGAGAGAACCCGAGCCAGTCTTGCACAGTCACCAGTGGCAATGAGAATGCCGTTGTCTCCCTATCTCAGGGATGGAAGGAGGGAAACAGGGACTGACGCGCACGGATTGGCTTGGTGGATCAGCATCTCTGTTCTCGGGAACTGAAGGAGCATTCTCCTGCTTCCCTTGCAGCTGCTGTACTTTGTGCTGAGTGCCCTGGGGCTGATGGTCTGTGTGCTGGCCGTGGCCTTTGCCGCCCACCACTACTCACAGCTCTCGCACTTGACCTGCGAGGACGTCCTGGACTCCTGCCAGTGCAAGCTGCCCTCCTCGGAGCCGCTGAGCAGGACCTTCGTCTACCGGAACGTGACCGACTGTAGCAGCATCACCGGCACTTTCCAGATGTTCTTAATCATCCAGATGGTCCTCAACTTGGTCTGCGGTCTTGTGTGCTTGGTGGCCTGTTTTGTGATGTGGAAACACAGGTACCAGGTGTTGTATGTGGGCGTCAGGATGTGCCCCCTGGCGGCATCCGAAGGCCAGCAGAAGGTCTAGTAGTCTCACATGCTGGCCAGCTGAGGTGGAAAGCAAAACAAAGCATTTGTAAGAAAAAAGACAAAACTTTCAACAGTATTTACTGTTCTCAGTGGATATTTTTCATATTTTGGGGAGGAAAGAACAGAGCATTTCTTCATGTTTCTATTACATTTTTAAACATCTGTACAGGGACACAAGCTTCAAGTTGGTCTGGGAATAGGAAAAACTACAAGAAGACCAATCTGGGGGTGAAAAAGACATAGATCTGTCCCGATGGTCTGGAGTTTATTTTTAGCACTCATCTTCTGGCTAATACGGTGTGACATGGCATTTATAGAGACTGCCCCACGTTCTTGCCACGCCTGGCCATCATGCCCACTGTGTCTCAGAGGGGGGCAAGGTGTGGAGGAATCTCTTCATTCTCCCTGGGGAGGGGAGGGGAGGGGAGGGAGATGTTATTAAGGCATTAAATAGAAGGGAACTTCAAAAAGTTCCTGCAAAATGGAATTGAAAGTTTATTTTGCTGCCAAGAATTTTAAGATCCACCCATGCAAGGGAATTTTCAAAAAGGTCATTGAAAAAGCGATGCTGTGGGAAAAAAAAAAAGTCACGGATGTCAAAATTTTGTGTTTGTGGCAAAATAATCTTTTTCTGCCATTTTTGAAGTGCCCTTGTAGCTTAAAAATCCCAACAGAAAAGGAAGAGACATTGAAAAAAAAAAAAAAAAAGACCAAGTAATTATAAACACCTGTGCCAGGGCGTGGGCCTTCCCGGCCTCCATGGTCAGGCTCTGCAAGCAGATCACTTACTAAACACTTGGCAGGACTGTGTGTGTGTCTCAATAATTGAAATATGGTGGTGCTTGTCTTCTTAATGATGTAGAAGGTTTAAAAATAATTACATTATGCTTCCATTCTATCATCTACAACAAATCATTAAACCTAATTTCTAGCTAATTGTTAATTATAATTATGCTCAGAAGTCTATTTAATGAGTTCTGGCTGTACTTAGGCGGCACTGTCAGTGTTAAGAGAAATGATCCTGCTAAGAGAAGAGGCCCAGAGATTCTTTCTTCTGGAAGCCAAGCATTATAAGGAGGGTTTTTATTATTATTAATAGCTCAGGTTAAAAAACACCCATTGAAACAAAAACAGGAGCATTTATAACCGGAAGCGTTTACACAATACCTTTCTGATGACTTGAAGAGTGTGTGTTGGTGGTGAGGTAGCTTTGAGCAAAGTCAGCTAGCACTGATGTGTTTTGTGCACAAAACTGGATTTGATTCTCAGTCCTGTTGTTGATGTGTGTGCACAGTAAAGCCAGCAACATGCTGTTTCCAAGTCCTTATTCAGCAGCCGTCCATTCACTTGGAGGGTAGCTTCTGTTTCCAAGTGGCTGGAAGTTAAAGCACAAGTCCCCTGGGGTGGGACACGCCTCCTGGTGATTAAGAACAATATCGATGTTTTACAAGAGGGTCTCCGAATGGAAACTTATGTACCTTAAGTGTTGCCAAGCACCTTCTCTGGCAATATGCTGGACTTGACAGCAGAAACTCAAGATGACTGGGCTCCGTCTGCAGCCTCACGTTGCCTCCTGAGGCTCTTCCCCAGTGGTCAGAGTCTTACAAAGCAGGTGAATAAGTGTACTGGTTGTGATAACGGTGTCAATTTGTATACCAAGTAACTGTCCAAACAGAAAGCAAAATTAGTCAGTGGAAGGATGGGTCGTAAGCACGTTTCATGCCCTCCAGGCTACAGACCTGATTCACAGATGTCACATCCTTTCTGTGCTATGCCCCAAGAACTGCCTTCCATGTGAGCTCAGGCCACGCAGGGAGACCAAGGCCCCCGTGCTCAGGCCACGCAGGGAGACCAAGGTCCCCGTGGACCCCATCAGCACAACACCACGCTTCCTGATGAGGATCGGGAAAACCCCCTATGCCCATACCTGAATCCATTTAGGTCTCTCCTAGGGTTTCCTACATAAGAAAGTGAGTCTGGAACGCTGCAGACTGGCAACACTGTGCTTTAAAGCCGGATACCATGAGGCAAGTGCTGGCAGCAGCACATTCTTAATACTTTCATCTACAACTTTTTATAATGAACACTAAAGGTTTTTACATTGAAAAAACCAAGACTTCCTCTATCCTTATGGTGCTCTATGCTCACAGGTTAGCCTGGGTTAGCCTGCTCTTTTTTTTTTTCCTAAAGAATGCCACCAATAAGAAATGACCTTGATATTTGTGTACCAGAGCATGGGGATTTTGTGATTGAATCATTGGATTATCCTTGACTCGCCAAAGAGTGGGGGGGAAAGACTATAAATGAATAGAAGGAAAAAGAAGAGGAGCTAAGAGAAGGAAGGAAGAAAGGGAGACTTCCTTTGCTTTGAGCTCACTGGAAGTTGATAGATGTCAGAACTGTGTTTTGGGGTCGGCACTGCGGCCCCACCAGCTAATTCTCCACCTGCAAGTGTCAGTATCCCATGAGTGTTGGTTTGTGTCCTGGATGCTCCATTTCCCATGCAGCTCCCTGTCTGTGGCCTGGCAAAGCAGTAGAGGGTGGCCCAAGTCCTTGAGACCCTGTACCCATATTGGAGACCCAGAAGAAACTCCTGGCTTCAGATTGGCTCAGCTCTGGCCATTTCAGCCACTTGGGGAAATGAACCAGCAGATGCAAGATCTTTGTGTCTCCTTCCCTCTATAAATCTGCCTTGCCGATAAAAATTTAAAAATCAGAGAGAGAGAGAGAGAGAGAATTGGGTTTCATGAATAACAAGCTGCTTAGGGCTGGATTTGAAGTATTTTGATGTTATGTTTTGCAAATATTGAAGTTACAATCACAGCAACAGAGAAGGAACAGATACACAGCTTTACACTTAGCAAAATGTTACATTTCAAATCTGACAAGGAGCCAAGATGGTGTCTCCTCCAAACCATAAAACAGTAAGACTTGCGCAATCCTCCTCCTCTTCCACCACACTCAGGAGAAGAAAATGAATCAAGACTTTGGAAGGAGGAGGAACAGCCAGGACTTGGCAGGACTTGAAATAGGAGGAATACAGCAGCCCAAATGTACACTGTGGAACTGAGTGGCCTGATCGGGCTGTGCCTTCACGTGACCACCATCTGTACCTCCCCCGCTCAGGCCAAATGTGCGTAGGCAGCTCCTTGGAGCCAGGCCTAAAAATATAGCTGCACCAGGGCCCTGGAAACTGTAGTCAAGGAACAGGCCTAACTCCACCCCACCTCTTTTTTGGGGGGGAAAAGTGTACATGAGCCCTCACAGGGCTTTCCAGCTGCACACATCTGCATAGTGTTCTGCGAGCCAGGACCCGTTACAGATGTGTTTTCCTTTCATGGCCAGGACAAGAACCTTTTCAGATTTTTGCACTTCCTTTCCTGCAATGCAGCCTATCTGGGAAATGTTCGTAAACGGCCAGTCCTGGGTGGGGTCGAGGGAGAGCCAGGGAAAGGCTGCGGATCCTGGTGCTGTGGCTCTGCATGGGGGCCATCAGAGGAGAACTCTGTCTTACAGAACTAGTCTCTTCCCATCGCAAAGCATACTTTCGCGTCCTCTAGCAATTGCTCAGAACAATCACCATGCAGCCGCATGTGTTTGTAAATCCTGCTGGCTGCCCTTTCTCACGAGGCCCAAAGAATTTCTAGCTAATGATTTAGACAGAGACTGAACCCAGGGTAGCATTAAAAAGCCTCGGTGGCCGGACGTACGTCCTCACAGTGCAGTCGTTTGGATGGTGAAGCCTCTGATATGCGCAGCTTGATCGGCGCCTGCTGATTTCCTAGAACTTTATGATCTTGAATGGAAACTGTTAGTCTGGACTCTGGTGTTGTAGTTCCCTGTTTCTGCAATTTATGAAATAGTAAGAGAGAAAACCAAGTATTTCTATGTGCTTGAGGTGGTTGTGTTTTAAAGGGATGTGTACAATGCAAATTTTCTTATTAATAAAGTTCTCAGACTCTGCAAACATGGTGTCTGTGTTTTCAAGTGTGCAGTGTGTGTGTGTGTGTGTGTGCCCTAGCATATGCACGCGCTACCTGAGGCAGACACTTACCTCAGAACTGCAGTTTGGGAATAGCCAGGAGCTCATGAGCCTCTGACCCCCTTTGTTCCAGCAGCCGTCTCCATTTTGGTCCTGGGAAAGGGTCACAGTGGCAGCTTCTCTGCACACAACGAGATTCTCAGCTGGAAACACCTTAGGAAAGACACCTGGGTTCTGATTTATAATCTGTATTTGTTAATGTCAAAGCTTGGCCCAAAGAATGGGACACAAGGGTACATGTTGGGTGCCTCATAATATTGTATAACCTAGTGTACTGAACCACCCACGGACTTTCCCATTTCCAACCTGAATTCCAGGCCCTCTGCCTCCCAGCTCCGAGGTCCTTCAGATCAGTTATTCTACTCTATAACGCAGTGGCTCTTTGTGTGGCCTTAGAAGAGCTGGTGGGATACAAAGAGACCACTGATGCAGCATGCGTGCTCTGTGCTGGCTCTACCGCATGTGCCACATCTGGAAGTCTGGGACCCCAGTATTCAGCCTGTAATTTCCTCACCTCTGCAGAGAAAAATTCAACTGCTTCGTGGCATTGTGGCCAAGGTTCAGTGACAAAGCACTCAGCAAAAGTGACAGATTTGGAGAAGGGGTTTAAGGCACATTACCCGCCCCCCCTTCAGCCAAATTCTGCATGATCTTTGTCTGGATGCTCACCGATGCGGGCATCTGTCCTCACGTGTCACCAGCAGAGCATCCCTGGTGTCTCCTTACCTGTTATTGTGAGCCTGACACACTGTCAGCTGGGCCTCCCATGGAAACTTCGCCACTAGCTAGTACAGGGACTGCTGCACCGGTTGGATCCCCACTGGCCCTTGGCGTCCATGGTTGTTGCTTCACTGGGCAGTTCTTCTCCTGAGCAGAATCAGGACCCAAGACATTTCTCTTGCTTCTCATAAAATGTCTAATTTCCTATCATACAAGCATGTTTAACCCAAACTTTTTAAAAACAAATCTTTATCGAGTTTTTATACATTGCCAGTCCACCGCTTATTAGGTTATAATGTACAATCCGACACTTACTTAAAAACCAGTCATCGGGCCCGGCGCGGTGGCGCAAGTGGTTAAGTCCTCGCCTTGCACGCCCGGGATCCCATATGGGCGCCGGTTCTAATCCCAGCAGCTCCGCTTCCCTTCCAGCTCCCTGCCTGTGGCCCGGGAAAGCAGTCGAGGACGGCCCAAAGCTTTGGGACCCTGCACCCACGTGGGAGACCCGGAAGAGGCTCCTGGCTTCGGATCGGCATAGCATCGGGCCGTTGCGCTCACTTGGGGAGTGAATCATCGGACGGAAGATCTTCCTCTCTGTCTCTCCTCTCTGTATATCCGCCTTTCCAATAAAAAAATAATAAAAATAAATCTTTAAAAAAAAAAACAAACCAGTCATCAAGTCCCTAAGGTTAGACAAGATTCTGTGAGTCACTAATCCTGATTCAAGAATCCACAAAGTCAGAAAATATCTAATGGAGTTCTAATCTGAATATGAAAACATTAAAGTAAATCCTTACATTTACATCGACTTTAGTTACTGAAATCTCACAGCCCATCATCTGCCTTTTTGCTTGACAGAATCAACTTGACAGGTCATGATAAATTATGATTTTTTAAACGTGTCATCTCAGTATCTTTCATAAGCCTTTATGATATTTAGGACTAACATGAGACACTATAAAAAAATTCAGACTGTAGTTAAGTGAAAAATGAAACTCATAGATAGGAATTTGAGTTTGGAAACAACTCATTCATTTCTTTCCCACCAACATGTATCTGTTTACTAATCCCTTCCAAAGCTGAGACACACAGAGCAGTCTCCTTAGGGGAAGGTCCAAAGGAAGACCCCTTCATCAAAGGGATTTGAACAGTACACTCACCTGTGGCCCTTGGAAAAGCAGAGCCCACAGCAGTCATTCATGCACACAGATCATAGCTGAGAAACGCAGCCTTCTGTTTTAGCAAAGTGCTGAGCTCTCCAGGAGCTGTAGGCTAGTGCTGCTGTGTGCACCTGGAAACTGGTGGACAGAGAGGCAAGGACTGGAGCACCCCAAACCAGGGGAGCACCCCTGAGAAGTCAGGATCACTTTGGAGTCCCCTGAGTCTCAAGACTTGGGGGCTGTGTTTTCTGGGCAGGGCCCCATTTGCCCTGTTGGACATCTGCCCAGTCCCTGCTCCTCAGGAACCTCCCTGGGTGGTCTCTGCCTGGGTCCATGTGACTGCTAGAACAAAATCCTCTCAAGCACCACGGGGAAGGAGACCCTATGGCCAAAGGAGCTGACCCACTGATGGCTGCCTTGTGAAGTCCACCCTGCATCGGTCTCCCTACAGCTTCCTACACACAGGACAGTTTGAGGATTAGTTCCCCAGAGGTGAGCCAACCATAGTGAGTTGTCAAAAAACACAGGTGCCTGTGTGAAAGGCTTGTGGCTGACATGGATTGTCTGGAGTTTTGTCACTCAGGGTAGAACTTGAGGACTCTTACAAAATGGGCTTAGTTGCTTCAGACAGTTTCCTAACAAGAGTGGACTCAATGCATTTTTCCCCCTTCTAGAGTGCAATGAAGTGACAAGGATGGGCTAAATGTTCAAGCTCAGAGGGCACTTGCTCCTTTCTCACACAAGGGGATGCTCAGCCTGTAGACACTGTGTGCCTACCTTGCCCGTGGTGGAGAGCATGAGCTTTGATCAGCGTAGGAGAGGGCAATGCCACAGGGAAACCTGCCAATGCCTGGACTCTGTTTGGTTACAATGAGAACAGCCATCCTGGTATTTTGACCCCATGTCCCAGAATTCAAAGCTACCACCAGGAACTCTGGGTAAAAGTACTCAAAAAGGCAACCTCTATTTCAGGATTTATGTCTCCTCATCCTCTTCTGAGTTCTCACTGCTTTTCTGGAGAAGACACCCCTTTCCCTGCTCCCCCACTCATTCCACCACCTCATCAGCCTCCTCTTCATCCCCTGTCTATGAGACTCCCCAGGGCCTGTTAAGCTAATGCAAATGGCTGGTACGTTGACTCCCAGCCAGATTGTTTTCCCGTTAACAGTCTATTTCTCAAGGCCAACAAACCACTGAGGCCCAGAGAAATAAAGTCTGAAGCCAGGAAGTGGAGACCTCCATGGAATGGTGTGTGAGCCATCACCATGTGCCACCTGAGCCATCACCACGTGCGTGCAGCACGAGCAGGTGCACCAGCCACAGCGCCTCATCAGCCTGGCTCTGACGTGGGTACACAGCTGCGCGGGCTGCTGGTTTGGAGTGGCCAAATCTCTGCTTATGCTAGTCCTTGGGAAGGGATTTTTTTTCTTCCACGATTCCAGATTTTATGGTGGGAAGACAGGGTGAGAAATGGGCAAGAATTGGAGCTGAACCTCTTTCCACCCCCTTCCCCCGCCCCCGGTGTCTGGCTCCCAGGGCGCCCCTTGGGACAGCTCAGCGAGGCTGGTAGCTCAGGATCTCGGCTTCCCTGTGCATGTGTGCGTGCATGCCACGCCACCCTCAGACGCTGACCCGGCCTCGCCCTGCCGCCCAGAGGAAGACGCGTCAGCCAAGAAGTAGGAGAAACGCTCGTTTCGTTTTTTGGGGGGAAAAATCCCCAAATCTCAACTTCACAGGGTGATCTTTTTTCTCCCCCTTTCTTTTTCTTTTCTTTTTTTTCATTTCCAGAATGTGTTTTTCCCCCTGAGTCCATAAGCACAGACCTGCGGTTTTTCTCCCTCCCGGTTTTACAGCCCATGTGCCTCGAGCCAAGAGACTTGGCGCGGCTCCCCCTGAGTC